AACCCAGTATTCCTGCATAGAATGGATAGATCACCTTATTTTTGTTGTTGTTGTTAATATTAATATTTTATTTATTTTTTATTTGGGGGTTTAAATTTTTTAGATTTATTTTTTAATTGGAGGAAAATTGCTTTACAATGTTGTGTTGGTTTCTGCCATACAACAATGCAAATCAGCCATAATTATACATATATCACCTCCCTCTTGAACCTCTTTCCCCTCCCCTCATCCCACTCCTCTAGGTCATCCTAGAGTGCCAAGTGGGGCTCCCTGTGTTATATAGCAACTTCTAACCATCTATCTGTTTTATACATAATAGTGTATATATGTTGATGCTACTTTCTCCTTCTGTCCCACTCTTTCCTTCCCCGATTGTGTCCACACGTCTGTTCTCTAGATGAATGGATAAAGAAAGTGTGATACATAAATACAATGGGATATTACTCAGCCATAAAAAGAATGAATTTGAGTCAGTTCTAGTGAGGTGGATGTACCTAGAACCTGTTATACAGAGTAAAGTAAGTCAGAGAAAAACAAGCATTGTATATTAATGCATATATATGGAATCTAGAAAAACAGTATTGATGAACCTATTTGCCGGGAAGGAATGGAGACGCAAATGTAGAGAAGGGGCTTCCTTATTTATAGCAGCAGCTCATGGGCAGATGCTGACAGCTTCAGACCCTGATCCTGTCTGAGAACGTGCATAAGAATGAATTGGATTCACACCTCAAAACCCCGTGGAAGAAAATAGAGATTTTCTTCCCCCAAAATATGTACAGTATGGCACCTGGAAAAATGCAGGTATTCACAGTTGAAAGTATTAAACCATGCATTTTGGACAAGACAACAAGGCTTAAGAGAGACAGCTCTGATTTCAATGCTAGATGACAACTGACCTCAGTGCCCCAGGGAACCAGAGTCAGTGGTGTCTTGGGAAGTCTTTGTTCACCTTCTGCTTTCTTTTTGTAGAATTGGCCTAAATGCTAATTGTGAAGGAAATCTCCTTTGGAAGCTGTAGGGCTCAACTTAGTCCTAGGCCCAGGGAAATTAAAATGTTATGACAGTTATGAAGTTCCTTTCAGGTAAAGCTCCAGAATCCTGTGAAAAGTGTCAGAGGAGAGTAATTAATGCAAAAAGAGGACTTCACCTTGTACCTCAAAGTTAAAGGATTTGTTGTCATTGTTCAGTCACTCAGTCATGTCCGACTTTTTGTGACCCCATGGACTGCAGCACGTCAGGCCTCCCTGTCTTTCACTAGCTCCCGGAGTTTGCTCAAACTCATGTCCATTGAGTCAGTGTTGCCATCCAACTATCTCATCCTCTGTTGTCCCCTTCTCCCCCTAACTTCAATCTTTCCCAGCATCAGGGTCTTTTCCAATGAGTCAGGCTCTTCACATCAGGTGGCCAAAGTGTTGGAACTTCAGCTTCAGCATCAGTTCTTCCAATAAATATTCAAGGTTGATTTCCTTTAGGACTGACTGGTTTGATCTCCTTGTTGTCCAATGGACTCTCAAGAGTCTTCTCCAGCACCACAGTTGAAGATGGAGTAGAACATTAACTTTAGTCACTCCAGTGTGATGGAAATGCTACATATTCCTGTGACCTCAAGTCCCCAGTCTGTTCTTGATAACACACACACACACACACACACACACACACCTTAACTTCATTTAGTCTTTCTAGCAGAGTGTTTCCTTGCTGATGGTGCTCTATGTGGGAGACAGGTTAAAGAGAGGAAGCCTTGTCTAAGTGGAGGCTGTATTTCATAACTTGAATCTTTCACCCCAGGTGAACATACCTGGATAGAGTATGATTCCCACCTCAATGGTAAATCAGTTTAGCTATGAACCCAAACAAAAGCTCTCATCCTCAATACCTCCCTGCTTTCCTGTCTGCAGGTGTCCCCCGCTCAACACCCTGACTCCTTCCTTCCCTTTGAGGCTGGCTGGGACCTGGGACCCTCTGCTGCAGTGCTTCTACCTGGACACACCTGTCCTCGAGCAACAAAATACAGAGAAACTGTATGGGACTGAAAATGCCAGCTTGCACATTTGGGGCAAATTCCAGACCCAAAAGATACAAAGAAACGAAAAAAACCCAACTACCAGTTTTTTCCAACTACCATTTTTGAGGACCCTGGAGCAAAAACGGGGGGCTGGGGAGCAAAAGCAGGGTACTGCGCATGCCCCCTGCATACTCCACCACCTAAGGAGTGGGCAAACCACCTAAGCCACCCCTCTGGCGAGACCCCTGGACACACCCCTCCCCTCAGCCCATATAAGGAACAAGCTTGTCCCCCTTCAGGAAGCAAGCACAGGAACATGTTGCTTGTTCTCTGCCCCCGCCCCCTGCCGCTGCAGGACCCCAGTGAAAGCCTTGCCCGAATTTCCTGTCTGACCTCTAGTCAATTTCTGTTGATGAATGAGGCCGAGAACCCTGGTCAGTAACACCTTGACTGCCTGTCCTGACCATCCTCCTCCTGAAAGGCGCTGACTTCGGGGGCAGGTTCCTTCTCTGTCTCCTTCCTTATTGCTTGACTGGTAAGAAACGGTCTGAAAACCCCACGTGGATAACAGAGCCATGAATCCAAGAGACTCCTTCTAATGCAGCTGTCTGCTGCCCTTCAGAGCATCTCCAAAGACCCCTCATTTTCTGCCCAGACTTTAATCTTGTGGTGAGACTGGAAGGCCAGGTGTGTTTCCCAGGTGGAGCTGTGGGTGTTGAGGTTGAAGATCTGCACTGAGGTTGCCCCAGGTAGGACTGTGGAACAAGTTCTTGGCGTCTTCCATCACCTTTTAGTTTCTCACCCGCTTTCCTCCCTTCCCTCTGTTCCTTTCTTTCCTGGCATATTCTGTGCAGAAACTTCCAGGAGCAAATTTGCTGCTGGCTCCCAGCCCTCCCACCTGCCCTCGTTTCAGCTGATCACCAGTACGCATGGAGGTGCATTGCATTTAACAAGGGGTCTTCATTCCTGGTCCATATAGTCAAAGGTCCATATAGTCATAGCTGTGGTTTTTCCAGTAGTCATGTATGGATGTGAGAGTTGGATCAGAAGGAAGGCTGAGTGCTGAAGAATTGATGCTTTTGAACTATGGTGTTAGAAGAAACTCTTGAGAGTCCCTTGGACTGCAAGGAGATCAAACCAGTCCATCCTAAAGGAAATCAACCCTGAATATTCATTGGAAGGACTGATGCTGAAGTTGAAGCTCCAATACTTTGGCCACCTGATGCGAAGAGTCAGCTCATTGGAAAAGATCCTGATGCTGAGAAAGATAGAAGGCAGGAGGAGTAGGAGACGACAGAGGATGAGATGGTTGGATGACTCAAAGGACATGAGTTTGTGTAAACTCTGGGAGATGCTGAAGGTCATGGAAGCCTGGTGTACTGCAGTGCATGGGCTCGCAGAGTTGGACATGACTTAGCGACTGAACAACAACTTCATTCCTGGCGGTAACAAGTTGGTGGGCAGGGATGCGCTCTATTCCCTGGGATCATGTGCCTGTGGAGGCTGCCCTGGGATGGATACAGTCAAGTTCTTCCTGGAAGACTCAAGTTGCTCTGAGAGCCTGTTTTAGAACTCTGCTCCATCACCAGTGTCACCTGCAAAGTTACTGACAGAAGATTGACGACAGCACCCACTTGAATTTCTCTGGTCAAATTTGATTTTTTATCTCAGGGATTTCTTCTTTCTTTAACCCAGCAGCTCCTGTTTTCATGGGATACAACATTTTTCAGATGCAACAGATTTTTCAAAGCAAGCCTGAGCCTGCAAAGATCTAGGTTCTCATCCTTGGCAGCTGTGTGGTCTCAACTAAGTTGCATCCATTCATTCTACAAACGTAAGTGCCTGCAGGCCCTGGGATGCAGTGGTGAGGAGGGCACAGAAAATGGCCCCCCAGTACAGGCCACGACAATTTGCTCTAAAGTCACAGTACAGGACCAAGAGCAGACAGGAAGTAACTCCTGGGTCTGCTGGAGGAGGAGCCCTTTCACAAAACAGGTGGACAGCTCTAGAGCTGTGACACACCTTGTCAGCTGAGCTTGACCACAGGCTTTTTGAGAGCACATGTTTGAAAACTCTACATTTCTATTGATGGCGATAGTTACAGTCTGATCACGCATAGGTGACTTTCAAAGTCTGAAGTTAACAAATGTCTCTGCCTCCCAACAGACTTTAGAACACTCTCAGCCAACAGTCTTGTTGGAACTCCATCATATTTTTATAAGTACAAATCAATCATCGTAATTATGTTGGTTTATACAATCAAGACTTATTTAGAATTTTCTAAATATTTAGTAACTTTGCTTACTACACCTTTATGCATCTCACTCCTTCCGAGTTCAGATTTTTTCTTCCTGAAGTAGTAGGGCCTGTGGCTGCTGCTGCTGCTGCTAAGTCGCTTCAGTCATGTCCGACTCTGTGCGACCCCATAGACGGCAGCCCACCAGGCTCCACCGTCCCTGAGATTCTCCAGGCAAGAACCCTGGAGTGGGTTGCCACTTCCTTCTTCAATGCATGAAAGTGAAAAGTGAAAGTGAAGTTGCTCAGTCGTGTCCGACTCTTCGTGACCCCATGGACTGCAGCCTACCAGGCTTCTCCATCCATGGGATTTTCCAGGCTAGAGTACTGGAGTGGGGTGCCATTGCCTTCTTTGAGGGTGTGTTAGGAGTACATTATCATCATCATCATCATCATTATTACTATTTTAATGGTAGTTAGTTGGGCACAGGGTTTTAGGTTGGTAGCTATATTATCTCAGCCCACTGAAGATGGGAGTACACTGTCTTCTGACATACAGTGTTGCTGTTGAGAATTATAACATGAATCTTTCCGTTGTACTCTTGTGTCATCTGACTTTTCCCTCTGCTTGGTAAGATCTTGGTCTTCACTATTCTACTACTCACTACAGGCTGTTTATGATTTACCTATATTTGTCCTGATGAAGACTTCTTTTTTTGTTGTTGAAGTATAGTTTATTTACCATGTTGTGCTAGTTTCAGGTGTACAACAAAGTGATTCTCAGTTGTGTGTATATATATAGCAAGAAAATCATACAGCTGAAGGGGACCTTGGAGATAAATGTATTTATTTGTTTGTCCAGCCAGCCAGTTACCTGATGTATGTTTACTAAAATGACACAGAAACTGCTGAATATACAGTTGATCCTCTTATAAAGCTTATCTTCAGATAGGAAGCACACAATGAACAGAAAACACGTGATTAAGTAAAATAGTTGCAGATAGTGATAAAAGCTGCAGAGAAATAGAGCTGGAGAGGCATCTTCGATAAAGAAGCAACAGTGAGGGACTTCCCTGGCCATCCGATGATCAAGACTCTGCCTTTCTAGTGCAGGAAGCTCAGGTTCGATCCCATCTGAGAACTAAGATCCCAGCAGCTGCGTACAGCCAAAACGGGGGGGAGGGGAGAAGCAGCAGCAATGTGCTGACCCTAAACCAAGAAAAGCAACCAGTTATAAGAAGAGCCAGGGCAGGAAGACAGTCTGCAGTCCAACCAGCTGAGGGAACCCTAGTGAGAAACCACAGCAGATGGATTCCAGAACCCAGATCCCAGCTGTGCCAGAGCTGATCCTGCCGACGCTCTGATCCTACCGCTTCTATTCTCCAATTCCCAGCCTCTCACATGCGGCTAATCCCTCAGCCAGCTGTCCTGCTCAGCCCTGTCTTTAGACAAGCTGTCATCTCCCACATCAAATAATGCCGAGCGCCCACACGAGCCACACAGTCACCTGCAACACCCGCTCCTCCGGCTGTCTCGGGTGTTGGGGCCCCTTGCTCCAAATCCTCAGAGCTGCTGCCATCAATGACTCCAGGAGCTCTTGCACCTGTTATTCGTACATTTCAGTGTGTGTTCACTTGGATAACCACTAATTATGTTCTGGTATAATAAATATAAAATTTGCTATTGTGGTTTTCGCAACAAAGTGCTTGATACGTTAATAGAAAAATCTCTAGCTTTCATTGTAAAACTCCCACCCACTTTTGTTACATACAGATCTCTACAGTTCTGCTTCAAGTTAGCAACAAGAATATATATACATACAGAAGTATATATGCATTTATATGACAGTCCTAAAAGAAAAGAACTGTTTGGAATTTTACTGTCTTCTCTTTCATATGATATGACTGATTGATAACTACATATTCCTTATACTTTGAAACTATTGTTTACTTGATTTCACCTTATTTTCATAATAATCACATAAGGTAAATAGTTTGTTTCTCTTGTTTTACAATAATTTGAAAACTTAGTCCAAAATGGGAACAGATTTGTCCATGATGGTGCAATACACAATATTACTGAGAATAGAGTAAGATTAAAATATTTGATCCCTCTGTGTACTAAGTGAGCAGCATTCACATTTACACCTTCATTTGCATTAATTAAATATTTTAAAGAACTGTAATGTCCTACCATTAGTAGGAAGTCTGAGGTGCATAAGAATTCTTTTAAAATAAACATTCATTGACCAAGATTCATTCATTATTGAACACAATATCAAAATTAAAATTTCAGTTTTTATATGTAAGATATGATTTTATGTTCTTTACCTTGTTTTTTGAAGGCCTTTTGATAGGAAGTCAGGGTCTTCTATGAATTCTGGAATGAGATATATTTCTGAGACATTAATCAAGTTACATGGAGTTACGTTCATTAACCCTTTGTAGAGCAACTGAAAAGAGATGGTGGAAACATTCAGCTTAGACATAGAAACACCCCTTGGGAGGAACATCCCAGCATGGTCCCATGTCCCCAGGCTTAAATTCATCTTAGCTTCAGTGCGGCACACAGAATATTAGGATTTGTACCATTAGCACTTGTCACGTGACTTTTCTCAGCGACGATATTGCCTCAGTGTCCCCCTCCTGCCCATCCAGTCCATCCAGTGATGCCTTTGGGAACAAGTTAGAACACAAACCAGGAATTGAACAGCTTTCTGATGCAACTATGTTGCATTTCAGGTTTTGTTTTACTTGGTCTGGTTAAATGTCTTCACTTGACAGCCAGGCTGTTCCATCATGTCTATAAAATGTATCAGGCAGGAAAATAATTGTGCAAATCACATGCATATGATTTCTAACCATCCCTTCAAAAGTTAAGCTTTGGGAGGGAAAAAAAGAGACTTAACTAGGACCTTAATTGTGGATACTAGATAAGTCTGTATAGTACTCTACACGTTAATCTTCACTGAAGGATACAAATAGAATGAGCAGACAAAAATTAGTAAAGGTGAGGATTTAAACAACATGATTAACAAATTGACATAACTGATGTATACATATTAAAAAGTAAAAAGTGAACTCAACAACTGCAGACTGCACATTTTTTCAAGTATATGTAGAACATTATAAAAAATTCGACCATATATATGGCCATAAAGGAAGTCTTAGCAAATATCAAAAGCAAATAGTGCAGAGATGGTTCTCAGGCCATAATGCAATGAAGCTGGTAATAAATATACCGATACAAAAATATACCAACATGAAAATCCCAGAATTTTAGAAATTAATACCATATTGCTAAATAATCCAGTGGATCAAATGAAAAATCACCATAGGAATTTGAATATATTTTTAATTGAACATATTGAAAATACGAGATACCAAAATTTGTAGGCTGCATTCAAAGCTATGCTCTAAGGGGAATTTATAGGCTTAAATGCATTTACTAGAGAAGTAGCAAAACTGAATGTTCCAAGTATCCATTTCAAGAAGTAGAAATACAACAGAAAACTCAAAGAAGTGGAGAAGGTAAATAATAAACCACAAAGTATGAAACAACAAACCATGAGGTTTATTTGATCTAAAAATTCTATCTTAAAAAGGAAAATTGACAAACACTTGGCCAGTCTGATCCTGGGAACTCAGACGGTAAAGAATCTGCCTGCGATGCCAGAGATCTGGGTTGGATCCCTGGCTTGGGAAGATCCCCTGGAGAAGGAAAAAGCTACCCATTCCAGTATTCTGGCCTGGAGAATTCCGTGGACTGTATATAGTTCATGGAATCGAAAAGAGTCGGACACGACTAGTGACTTTCACTTCACTTGGCCAGACTGATCAAGAAAAGAGGTGAAGGAAATGTGTAAATAATGTCAGGGATGAACAGAGTCGTGGAAAAGGTCATAGGATGTACATGTGAATAATTTTACGCCAATAATTTTGAAAATTTACATATGGATAAAACCCCAGTGTACCTAAATGGACACAGTAAGAAATAGGATTAAAATCTAGATCTGGGACTTCCCTGCTGGTCCAGTGGTTAAGAATCCTCCTTGCAGCAGGGGACATGGGTTCGATATCTGGTCGGGGAGCTAAGATCCTACATGCCAAGGAGAAACTAAGCCTGAGAGCCTCAAACCCTGAGTCCACTCACCGCAGAGGCCGCGGGCCTCAATGGAAAGTTCCCGTGCCAAAAAGAAAGATCCCGTATGAGGCAGCGGAGTTCCTGTGTGCTGCAATGAAGACTAGACACAGCCAAACAAACAAGTAAATAAAGATTTTAAAAGTCATAACATCAGTCTTATACACACTTTGGAGGAGACTCTTGACAGTCCCTTGGACTGCAAGGAGATCCAACCAGTCCATCCTAAAGGAGATCAGTCCTGAGTGTTCACTGGAAGGACTGATGCTGAAGCTGAAACTCCAATACTTTGGCCACCTGATGCGAAGAGTTGACTGATTGGAAAAGACCCTGATGCTGGGGGGGATTGAGGGCAGGAGGAGAAGGGGACAACAGAGGATGAGATGGCTGGATGGCATCACTGACTCAATGGGCATGAGTTTGAGTAAACTCCAGGAGTTGGTGATAGACAGGGAGGCCTGGCATGCTGCACTTCATGGGGTTGCAAAGAGTCGGACATGACTGAGTGACTGAACTGAACTGAACTGAATCCTCAGTTCCAGGGTCCATTTTTTTCCCCATTTCTTTGCGGTCAATTCTCGGAACTTTGGCAGCTTAAGTCCTGGGGTACAGTCTGGCCATCGTGTTGTTAACTTCTCCACCTGGTGTTTTGGTATCTATAAGACAGCTCACAGATATGGCTCAGAATATTATCTATAGCCCTTGAGTGAGAAAGAACTAAAAGTCCTTGACTATGCTTAGTGACTTTATTATTATTATTTAGTTCCTTTGACTGTTTTCCTTTGTTTCAGCATTTCTCACTTCTCTGATTAAACTTATTTTTTGACTAAAGTTTTTCACAGACAAAAGGCAGACAGAGGACATGGTGCAGGGTGGGAGTGGGGCAAGGACCATAGGGTCCTGCTCCGTTTCACTCTCTCTTATAAAAGTAGTGAAAGTGAAAGTTGCTCAATCATGTCTGACTCTTTGTGACCTTATAGAGAGGCTCCTCTATCCATGGGATTCTCCAAGCAAGAATACTGGAATGGGTTGCCATTCCCTTCTCCAGGGGATCTTCCTGACCCAGGAATTGAACCTGCGTCTCCTGCATTGCAAGCAGATTCTTTACCACTGAGCCATCTGGGAAGCCCTTTGGAATTAGAAAAAAGAGAAATAAATCTGTCATTATATATAATATAATTTCATGTGCAGAAAAAGCAAAGATATCTGCAGATAAACTATTAAGAATTAGTAGGAGAATTGAACAAGCTCACTGTGTAGATGGTCAATAAAATCATGTAGTTTTTTTCTGTACATAACTAATTACTATTGATATTTATCAACAGAACACAAAAAGCATACATCTAAGAACCAAACCAAAAATACTCTGCAAGATCTTGACACAGAAAACTACAAAACCTGGTGGGGAGAAATGTAAGAACCTCTGATAAAGGAGCAACTGAGCATGTTCATGAAGAGGATTCATGTTATAAAGTCCTTGCTTTGTTACCACTCCAGTAAGTAATGGCTGAAATCAGCAACAGTCAGTCGATGCTGATGACCCCACAGATGGCTGGGCTCAGTGGACAGCTCTGCTGGTCTCCCTGGGGCCCCTCCTGGGGCTGCAGTTGGAAGGGGACTGCGACAGCTTCATTCACTGATGCCTTGAGGGACAGCTGGGCCGCTGGGCTTCACACTTTCTTACTCGTGGCCCAGGGCTTTTCCCTCCCTGCCTGGCCTTCCCATGTGATTGCCCCAGTGGAGCATCTGAAATTCTCACACGGCAGCTCGGGGATCCCCAAAGTACAGAGAGGAGGCTGCTTGGCCTTGTTTAGGTTAGTGTGCAGAACTGCCGTGATGTTACCTCTGCTGCGTTCTCATGGTGAGAGCAAGTCCCAGGTTTAGTGCAGGAGGACACTGGCTCCCGAGGGGCCTGAAGTCCAGGAGGCAGGCTGACCGGGGCGTGTTTGGGCTCCAGCTATGACAGTGCACTCAAGGGGAAACCTCTCACGGGCTTCAAGGACTCACACCCCTCACAAGCAAAATGTGCTTACACCCACTCCTCTCTTCACTTCCAAAGCCTCATCCCATGACACAGTTCTTAAAAAAATCCTGTGGGTTTCTGATGTATCAAATGACACATTGACTCTCTTAGGTTCCATTTGTATAAACTACTAATTAGCAGGGAAGCGTCCCTGGTGGCTCAGATGGTAAAGAATCTGCCTGCAATGCAGGAGACCTGGGTTTGATCCTTGGGTCGGGAAGTTCCCCTGGAGAAGGGAATGGCTACCCTCTCCAGTATTCTTGCCTGGAGAATCCCATGGACAGAGGAGCCTGGTGGGCTACAGTCCATGGGGTCACAAAGAGTCAGACATGACTCAGTGACTAAGCCTCACTTCACTTCACTAGGGGAGAGACTGGTGACATCCTGTTTCTTGGCCAGTGGCCCCCTCCTGCCCCTGTGTCTCCACCTCGGACCCTCTGAGTGCCACCTGTGTCTTCATCTTATTAGCGCCAGAAAAAATCACAGGATGATCAGCTCAGGATGCCAGATACAGAATTCTTAGTGAAGACGGCTCCACGGAAGTGTATTAGTGGTGATGACCGAATGATCGTCCCACACCCAGAGTACCAGGTAAGATGCACATACAAGAAAGCCTCTGCCCGAGCCCTGATTTGCTGCAAGTAGCACTCCTGTTTCTCATCAAGTCGCAGCCAGCCACGCTTAGGCTCTTCCTCATCCAGACCAGTTCTGCCTGTTAGAATGCTTTACCTCCTAGAGCTTGTTAAGGAAAGATTTCCCCCACAGTGGCCAACTGAGAAAACCTCCCTCATTCAAGTCACACAGATGGCAACCTAATAGACAGATTTGAAGTGTTAATTAAGGTGCGATACTATTTCACAGGTATCAATTCTATCAGGAAAGATTTTAAAGTTTGATAATGCAACCGTGGGCTTCCCCGATGGCTCAGTGGGTAAAGAATCCGCCTGCAGTGCAGGAGACAGAGGAGATGTGGGTTCAATCCCTGGGTCAGGAAGGTGCCCTGGAGGAGGAAATGGCAACCCAGTATTCTTGCTTGGGAAATCCCGTGGATGGAGGAGACTGGCAGCTTACCGTCCAAAGAATCATAAAGAGTCAGGCGCGCCTGAGTGATGAAGCACACACCCAGTGCAGCTGTGGGGAAAAGGAAACTCTCATGCATTGCATGTAAGGCTGACCATGCTGGAGTGTAAATGCCTAAAGAGCTAAAGATGCACACACTCCTCACTCAGAAATACCTCTTCCGGGTGGGATGTGTGTGTGTGTGTGTGCACTCAGCTGTGTACCACTCTGTGTGACCCCGTGGGCTGGAGCCCACCAGGTTCCTCTCTTCATGGACTTTGCAGGCAAGAATACTGGAGTGGGTTTCCTTTCCTCCTCCAGGGGATCTTTCTAACCCAGAGACCGAACCCACATCTCTTTCATCTCCTGCATTGGCAGGTGGGTTTTTTTTTTTTTTTACCACTGTGCCACCTGGGAAGCCCTCTGGATGGAAACTGAGGAAATTCTGAAATGCTATCATGAGAATCCAGTGTTTACCTTTTGAATTTCCAACCTATTGAGGATCAACATATTTAAAACAATAAAACAAAAAAATTCATAAAACGTGAGAGAAGGCAAGGATGGGATGATTTGAGAGAAAATAGCATTGAAACATGTATATTATCATGTGTGAAACAGATCGCCAGTCCAGGTTTGATGCATGAGACAGGGTGCTCAGGGCTGGTGCACTGGGATGACCCAGAGGGATAGGACGGGGAGGGAGGTGGGCGGGGGGTTCAGGATGGGGGACACATGTACACCCATGGCTGATTCATGTTAGTGTATGGCAAAAACCACCACAATATTGTAATTAGCCTCCAATTAAAACAAATAAATTTAAAAATAAATAAAATTCATAAAACAAATGAAATATAACAACAGACCTACAAAATATAAGCCTGAATAATTTTTTATTATTAGATTCCATCGATGTAAAATTCTCAGTTGAATAACTTTTGAAGATTCTAAATGCTTATTCTGCACTTAAGCAGTTCCTGGCCATGAAATGCTAAGAGTCTGCAGTTCTCAGTTTGAGGAACTGTGCCATTAGTAACTGAACCCCACGGGCATGAGGAGATGCATTTAAAGAAGAAAATAAACATTAGGGGAAATGTTCCTAGGGGAAAATAAACATTATAGTCATACAATGAAATGCAATATAGCGGTTAAAATAAATGTTTCTATCCACATATTAACATGGATAAATCTTGAAATCAAAACATTGAGATTAAAAAAACTGTCAACTGAATCTTTCTTGTATATTATCACTTATAGGCAGACCTCATTTAATGCATTTTATTGTGCTTTACAGATACTGCATATTTTACAGATTGAAGGTTTGCAGTAATGCCTCACACAAGTCTGTCAGAGCCAGTTTTTCAACAACATTTGCTCAGTTCATCTTTCTGTCACATTTCGGTCATTTTCACAATATTTCAAACTTTTTTGTTATTATTGTGTGTTAAAGTGATCTGTGATCAGTGGTCTTTTATGTTGTTACTGTGATTGTTTTGGAGTTCTATGAATCGTGCGCATGTAAGAAGGCAAACTTAAACAATGAATGTCCTATGTGTTCTGACTGTTCCACTGACTAGCTGCTCCCCCTTCTCTCTCCTAGGGCCCTCCTGTTCCCTGAGACACAACAATATTGAAATTACATCAATTAATAACTCTACAATGGCCTCCAAGTGTTTGAACAAAAGGAAGAGTTGCATGTCTCTCACTTTAAACCAAAAACTAGAAGTAATTAAGCTTAGTGAGGAAGGCGTGTTGAAAGCCAAGTTAGGCTAAAAGCTAGGCCTCTTGCGCCAAACTGTTAGCTAAGTCATGAATGCAAAGGAAAAATTCTTGAAGGAAATTAAAAGTGCTGCTCCAGTGAACACAGGAATGATAAGAAAGTGAGATAACCTTATTGCTGATATGGAGAAAATGTTAATCTCTGGGTACAAAGTCAAACCAGCCACAACATCCCCTTAAGTCCTAACTCCCTTCAATTCTATGAAGGTTAAGAGAGGAGAGGAAGCTGCAGAAGAAAAGTCTGA